GTCAGTTCTTTGCTCACACATGTTAACCTACATCTACAGAAAATCCTCAGCATTTTATTGATTCCATAAACATCGTGGCTGCCTGCTGTGTTGAAGCGGTGCAGCGTGCGTGACTGATGCTCTGAAACCGCCTCAGTGTGACGCCTGCCTGCTGGGAGGCAGAATTTAAGGAGCAGCCATCTGAGGAGCTGCACATAAAGTCCACACCGATACCAGAAATCAGGGTCCACATGTGCACGTGGAGTCAGAAGATGACACGAATACCTACAATCACAAGCTGACAATGACAAGAGCTTTATTATACAAACTTATGTCTTGATGGGCAGCAGCACGGTGGCGCAACTGGTAGAGCTGCTGCCTCTCAGCGAACAGGTCCTTGGTTCAAACCCCGGTCCAGGGGCCTTTCTGGGTGGAGTTTGCATGTTCTCTCCGTGCATGCGTGGGTTTTCTCCGGGTACTCCGGTTTCCTCCCACAGACCAAAAACATGCATGTTAGGCTGATTGGTAACTCTAAATTGTCCCTAGGTGAGAGAGTGAATGGTTGTTTGTCTCGTTTGTCTCTATGTGGCCCTGTGATGGACTTGCGACCTGTCCAGGGTGTACCCCGCCCCTCGCACAGTGATTGCTGGACATGGGCACCAGCGACCCCCGTGACCCAAAATGGAATAAACGGGTAAAGATAATGGATGGATGGATGGATGTCTTGATGGATATTTATCAGATATTTTTAGACCAAATCCAGTGGAGTTTGAATTTTCTGGCCATGATCATTTTTTTTTCCAACAATATGTTTGGTTTTCAAAAACATAAAAAATAGAGTCCAATGTGTCATTCATGTTGTAGATTTAAAAATATGTCTCAGTCAGTAGCTTGTCCTCCATGAGGACATGCACATTTTCATTTTTTTTAATGAAAAAGGCCTGTTCACCCTATTCAGAGATATGTCATTAACACCCCTACATCAATCAAACAACAATTTTCAGTTTGATGGGAACTGTTGTCTACTTTCAAAACAAAAACAAAAGTTGTGATTACTGATACACTTGCAAAAGTTACACTGGCATCTGTACTCAACTACTTTTTCCCTTAAAGTGAAGTTTTGCGTAGTATGAGTAGTCAGTATGCTACCTGCATCAGACTGCAGTCAACATATTCACAGTTTAGAGAATCAAAGACAAGCTGTCGTGACGTGGACAAGCTAATAGCCACTCAGAGCTCAAACCATTAAAGAGTGAATTTAATCTTCAACATCTTACAATACAACTTTAATAACAATACAAGAAATGTTGTTTTCCTTCAGACTGCTCCCACTACAGCGAGCAAACTCAGTGAACAAAATGGATGTCCTTCCTGACACAATCTGGGCTCTGACCTGTAGCCTCAGGATGACAAGACCACAACACTGACCTCAGGGCTGGAGTGGGACTCATTTTCAGCCCTGGAGTTTCAGCCAACTTTGCACCAAACCACGTCTGTGACAACTAATATGACTGATATTAGCTTGTGACACCTAATATTTTATTGCTAATGCATTATGTGGCTGTATCATGTATGTATCTACCTTACCATCATAATTCATCTCCATGTTACTCACCACCTGTGCAATAATCTGTCACACAACCTGTGTAGTTTGTTAGTTATGTGCAGTATACATCATGTGAATTTAAGCTTATATTACTACCTTGAAATACTTATTCATACAAATTCATCCTAATAGGCTCTGTGCACATGCGTCCTGAATCACTTCACCATTATATTCTACCATGTTGTTTACTATTTTTTCTTTAGGACCTTGTAAATATTGTATTAAATTTTTTTATTTTTGGTACTTTATGTTGTATTAGTATTTCTTGTTTGTTCTTTGTTTTAGTGAGTCAAATCAGTTCTTCTCATCCTAAATACTTTATTGTACTGTTAAACTTGTGTTAACCTGCATATGACAAATAAACATAACCTGAATTAAGCATTAACCTTTTATTCAACCATTAAGCATACAATGTAATTATGACTGAAAATGGAGGATATACTTAGAGTTACTTTTGTAGAGATGAACATGGGATAGCTACTTCCTGTTTATAACTTGTGATCAGCTGATGGGGTCGGTCCCCGGCTTTTTACATGTTTTCCAAACTCCGTTTAATTTTTGAAAATGAATAAATTGTATCCCACCCTCTAAGCTCTCACGTTAACAAGTGTCTGGATTACCTGTTCTCCTCTGACAACATTTAACCATTTTAATCTGGTGATTTTTCACAAAACTCTGACTGTAAAGCATCCTGGCTATAGCCTCAGATCTGCAGGTAAGGGGCGTTTACCTTCGGGACAAATTGAGGTCACCGATTGGTCATTTGCTGACACGCCTACTGGATTGATTGACAGGTCATGCAGCAGAGCCGACTTGTGGAAAAAATAAAAAAACAAACAGAGCTGAAGCCGGTGGAGGCAGGGCGGCCCAGGAGCAGCGGTAGTGTGTTCTGTGTTTAAATGTTGTTTATAAAAAGTTCTTAAAAAAAACAAAAAAAAAACAGGGAGCGCCGGCCTTGCAACCCACAAATCAGACCGGCCCACCGGGAATTCTCCAGACCCTCCCGATTGGCCACTCTGGGCCTGACTGACCTCCTGCAGTAACAGCAACTCTATCACAGTTCAAGAAAACACAATTACATTTTTTTTCACTGTTTGTTTGTTTAATTTGTGAATACTTGTTTTGATCAATACTCATGTTACCACCTAACTGTGGGCACCTAGTCTGCTGATCAGTTGTTACTCATTAAGTACAACTGAATGCCCAGATACCTGCAACAATAAAAATGAGTGACCTCATGTACAAAAACAAAAATAAAACATAAACCCTGTGTGAATGAATGTGATTACTGAAGAACTGCTGACAGAAGGAACACTTGGTGGACTTAACTGATCCACCAGCTGTTGGACATGTTAGCAGCCTCCCTCATAGGCATAACAAGCATTTGTAATATGTGGGTGTGTGTGTGTGTGTGTG